ATTCCCAATTGAGCGTCATATAATATCTTCGACAGGTTGGATGGTGTGTGCGTCACATCCAGGACATACTTAGAGAAGGATAAGAACGCGATTTACCTGGACCTGATAAAACATTTATTTGCAAACCGAATAACACAATAGAATGATACTTATCGAAAGTATCTATTTGTCAACAATTTTGAGTAAATCCAGCCAAAGATTGAGGAAAGAACCCAATACAACAGAGACGATACATTCGATTTATAAACCGGATGAAACAATCGAATGTCAATAATCGTGCTTATCGAGTGTGTCGTGTTGTCAACAAGTAGTTGTACAGACAGGGCGATGTCAACCGACCCTATAGAGACCTTCGATATTATGAACCGTCCACAGGCATGCGATGCTAGACAACTCTATTATAGAAAAACACGACTATATCGAACGCAGCGTTCCAACCACTTTGGCAGCCTTTGACTGCATTTATCTTTCATCATGGTGTTCATGGTGGATAAATTCTTGTTTACGTTTTTAGTATCATTAGTTTTAAAAAATGTACCGTTCTTGATAATTTTTTTGTTCCTCTTCTTGCTTTATTGTTATTTAAGGTATACCATAAGTGTGTCCCGCTCAGTTATGATATTTTTTTTTTCAATTCAAATTTCATTAAAAGTAATCACTTTATCAAATATCCCAATACTTATAAGGCGTTAGTAGTCGGGATATTTTTGATTGACACTTTCAATACAAGGCTTCCAATATGTCCAATGGAAGTTTTAAGTTTATATAAACCATTTTCTACAGCTATCGTTCGAATATATTAAGATGTAATGCATTTTTTAGTTTAAGTTATAACAGCTCTACATTACACCCACATACAGATATAATGTGTGTTGGCACAAACTAAAATTATTAATATTTTCAACTACCTGCATTGATTAAAAAATATAACAAATGTTAGTTAGGATGTTAGTTTCACTACAAATTCCTCCAACTAGTACCACAACAATTGGATTCTAGACGTATTGGACCAATTAAACAATTTCACGGAAAACACCTTCAAAATCTCAAAAAATATAAACTATTAGGCGTATTAAGTAATTTGGTACTTTCGTATTCGACCAAATCAACTTCCAAATAAGATTTTAATTAGTTTAAATTACAAAATATACCTAACCTAACCCCACCTGAGGGTTTTATTTGACCAATTTAGGTGTGGTTGGTATAATACGAAAGTACCAGCAAGTTTTGTCCTCTACAATAATAACACAATATCCCAAGATATTCGTGTGTTCCGTTTACCAGTTTTTACACAAAACCTCCCCATTAAGCCGCTAAAATTCCAGGACATAACGTTTATTAGTGCCAGTTTGGGTTTATTTACTGAATCAAAGGCTGATGTAGGTAAGTACGGCGGCATTGAGCGGTCACTGCCTGGATTATAATGTGGGCGAAACAAACAGTCACGCGAGCTACGACCTTGCCTATATACCCAGACCTTACTGTAGACACAATCTACAACGGGCCGCGACCAACGACCTTGCCTATATACCCAGACCATACTGTAGACACAATCTACAACGGGCCGCGACCTACGACCTTGCCTGTATACCCAGACCATACTGTAGACACAATCTACAACGGGCCGCGACCTACGACCTTGCCTATATACCCAGACTATACTGTAGACACAATCTACAACGGGCCGCGACCTACGACCTTGCCTATATACCCAGACTATACTGTAGACACAATCTACAACGGGCCGCGACCTACGACCTTGCCTGTATACCCAGACCATACTGTAGACACAATCTACAACGGGCCGCGACCTACGACCTTGCCTATATACCCAGACTATACTGTAGACACAATCTACAACGGGCCGCGACCTACGACCTTGCCTATATACCCAGACTATACTGTAGACACAATCTACAACGGGCCGCGACCTACGACCTTGCCTATATACCCAGACTATACTGTAGACACAATCTACAACGGGCCGCGACCTACGACCTTGCCTATATACCCAGACTATACTGTAGACACAATCTACAACGGGCCGCGACCTACGACCTTACCTATATACCCAGACTATACTGTAGACACAATCTACAACGGGCCGCGACCTACGACCTTGCCTATGTACCCAGACTATACTGTAGACACAATCTACAACGGGCCGCGACCTACGACCTTGCCTATATACCTAGACTATACTGTAGACACAATCTACAACGGGCCGCGACCTACGACCTTGCCTATATACCCAGACCATACTGTAGACACAATCTACAACGGGCCGCGACCCAATCTACAACGGTACGTGACCTACGACCTTGCCTATATACCCAGACCATACTGTAGACATAATCTACAACGGGCCGCGACCTACGACCTTGCCTATATACCCAGACTATACTGTAGACACAATCTACAACGGGCCGCGACCTACGACCTTGCCTATATACCCAGACTATACTGTAGACACAATCTACAACGGGCCGCGACCTACGACCTTGCCTATATACCCAGACTATACTGTAGACACAATCTACAACGGGCCGCGACCTACGACCTTGCCTATATACCCAGACTATACTGTAGACACAATCTACAACGGGCCGCGACCTACGACCTTGCCTATATACCCAGACCATACTGTAGACACAATCTACAACGGGCCGCGACCCAATCTACAACGGTACGTGACCTACGACCTTGCCTATATACCCAGACCATACTGTAGACATAATCTACAACGGGCCGCGACCTACGACCTTGCCTGTATACCCAGACCATACTGTAGACACAATCTACAACGGACCGCGAACTACGACCTTGCCTATATACCCAGACCATACTGTAGACACAATCTACAACGGGCCGCGACCCAATCTACAACGGTACGTGACCTACGACCTTGCCTATATACCCAGACCATACTGTAGACACAATCTACAACGGGCCGCGACCTACGACCTTGCCTATATACCCAGACCATACTGTAGACACAATCTACAACGGACCGCGAACTACGACCTTGCCTATATACCCAGACCATACTGTAGACACAATCTACAACGGTACGAGGAATAAATGTGCGTTATGTATTGTTTATTGAGAAAAATGGAAAGCTACAAAATTGATAGAAGTGTTAAGAAAAACTTTGTCATTACTATGTCAATTTCTTGTCCATACAGGACTTCTGGATCTAGTTTTTAAACATAGAGTAACTGACCTTTCACAGTATAAAACCGGTACGACACGAGGAAGGCTCGAAAAATATTTCGTTGTATTTATGACTGATGAAGTAGGGAGAAACTAAAACATATTGAACACTATCAAGAATGACTAGAGGAAGCGGTTACCTTGACAAATACCAATTACCATTTATTTGATTCAAGGAGATTTGGGTTTAGTTAACAATAAAAAAATACTGACTTTTAAATAAATTATATATAAACTAATCTTCGAGACGGGTTGCAAACTTAAGTGCAATTTACAGTTAAGAATGATGAGTGTAGAATAGAACGACACGATCAGTATGGATTTTCACTACGGCCAGCCATTTCCTTAGACACGATGGCTTACCTAAAGTCCAATAATCAAGAACAGTTGGGCTCAGTTTCGAATCATCGAACTGGCGAACTTCTAAAGAAGCACTCCCCTACCACGCTTGACTTGCACATAGTACAGTTTGAGTTATGCAATTGTACACTAAAATGATCCACATATGGAAATCGGTATTAAATTAATCCACTAACAACTGTAAAGAAACCCCAAATCTTCAAGCATATGTTAAGGAAATATATTTTGCACTATCACATACATATAGGATTTTCTTCTGCAGATTCCGTAAAAATTAAGTTCCACTTCAGATGTTTAATTCGAGAGACAACAGTTGCTACTATTGCCTCCACATCGTCATTCGTCTTGCATGGACAGTCATCTATTACACGGACGATAGGCGGATTACTGACTGAACGCTAGGACCATGTGTCCGTCACCAGATAACTCTTATGGCCATAACTTTGCTGGGTCATTAGCATTGCCTCTTGATAGGCATTTCTAGCTGTACGCAGGGGAGGAGAAAAAAATCATAAAAGTCAGCATTGGTGATGTTATACAACAATATGATGATCATATTAATAACAAGAGAAGGATTACATGGATGTTAAACCACTTAGCTACTAATTTCTTCAGTTAATGAGCGTTTTAGAGTTACAATGAATCCAAAACTAAACAAAAACCGAGGTGAGGCAATGAGAGTACAAGAATTTTGTTTCACCGTCAAATGATAAATAACCAAACAAGGAATGAACAGCTTTGCTTATAACCTCATCAAACTATGTAATTTTAGTAAACATGGTGTTATGGAGTCATAAAACTGAGCCTTTTCTGTGGAAACTAGATAACAATTTTTTATTTAACTCGATGATTGTTTGGAAAGCATTTAATAGTTGTTCCACAAGGTGCGGTTCCAGATCGAAAAGCAATTAAAAACATGGATAAAACTGTTTAAAAATACAGCTTTTACCTGAAAATGGATTGGTGAAAGCAAAAATAACTGTTCGAACACTGATATCCAGGTAATCTGGAAAAAAATACGTGTCGCGTTCCCATAGTCTAAAAATGACCTCCTTATTCCTTTTAATAGTCAAAGCTTAAAGCCAAGGTTAGCCGTACCTTTGTTGTTGGAAACTTTCCGTTGGCTCTGTCCTTTTGGGGGGTTATCCCTAGGCTACTTAAATTTCAAAGTTTTTAAAATTGTCCCAGAGATTTGCTTGAAGTATAGCTACAAAACAACAAGGAAATTTGAGCGATTTCCAAAGAAATGATAGAGCGAGTATTCGGTATGTAGATAAATGAAGTAACTAGTGTTACATTTTGTACTATTTGTGTGGAATTCTCATTGTCTCACCATGTAATAATTTAATGATTTCAGGTAGCCCTAGCAGTCAAATAATAGATCTACATAACTCATGCATGTTTATAACTTTCCAATCGGAACTTACTGGCGTTGAGAGGTTGGACAGCCGACGTCTGGACGGTGTTGTGATGGTGAGGGAACCCCAATGGTGGTCCTCGATGGTGCACATGGTGTGTGTGATGGTGCAAATGATGGTACCCATGGTGGACACCATACCCATGGTGCACGTACCTTCCGAACCCTTCCAGCTTGCTGTCTTTTGTTACACAACTGTCTCACTCTCGCACATAGTCACTGTTTGTCTTTTGCGTCTTACAATTTATTGTGATTATTGCTTTCGTTTGATTATTGCTTAAATTGTAGTAAAGCTGAAAGAATGACGAAAAGGTTTCGATACAGTTTAACCATAAAAGCCCTAGAGTCGTGTGTTCAGAAGATTTAAACTGTTTAGATAACTGCAAGTACTGGGATTGGTAGATTATGGTATCAATGGGATTCGTACATCAATAAATTATGGAAATCAATAAAAGTGAGATAGTTACAATATTTTACAAACTCCTTGATTCATAAACTAATATTTCATGTACCCATACCCATGTGTTTCGTGATGTACCTACGGATTTCTGTATTTAATTACAGAAAATCCAACTTTGTTGGTAAATTCCGTAAGATAAGATTTAGAAAAACTCCCATCATATGTTTACTACACTGGTTTGGAAATCACTTTTAAAAGTTTCCATTTTACAGGAAAACGCCATATTGAAGGCAAAGTACAGGTTATCCTTGCAATATGGATTGTATGTCCATACAGTTGAATTTATTTCGATATATTTTCACTAGATTGATTGGTTCTATCGAAATAATGTTTCACGATAAACTGTGATTTAGTTATGTTATTTCCCTATTTCCTAACATTGCAAAAAAAAACTGTTAAAATTTTACTTATCTTGGTGCACTATAAGAGATAATTTTCAATGTATTATTTACCAGACGATTACGAACTTATCCAGTTAATCCAATAGAATGCCATCCAAAATAGGATACAAATCAAACATACAAAACTATTCCCACTTTGATATTAAGCACACAGAAATACAAATTTACTGCTAAATCTCATATTATTTGTCAAAATTACAATTCTATTGACATACATCTTATCGCTCTTATGTTATATATAAAGAGTGTCGCTACGGCGATACCCTATGTTGGCAATCAAGCATGTCGAGAAGGGGATATCGATAAATTAGTCGGTGATAGATGCTGTATCCGATACTACTATCGATATGTAGCTCTCGTCACGAGATAGGCCAAGTGTAGAGGGTCGCATGTCATTTCGATTTATCACTTGGGAAACCTTCCCCTACATTCCTCCCCTACCTGCTAAACCAGGGCGGGTAACATGCGAGGAAACGGAGTGAGAGCTTCATTTTATATACGTTAAAACAACACATATTACATATATTTGGGTTAACGTGGAAAATATTACGCATTTTAACTCAATAAGCCCTACTTGAGAGTTTTTACACTCATACAGCATGTTTATTAGTATTATGTCAAAATAGCGTTAGAATTTAACCGGTCACTGTCATTATAAGGCCCACTCGGTGATTCTGAATTAAATATTTTCTGTAAATCATAATTACAACCTTTAACTTTACACCTTGATTTCCTACTTAAGTGTTGCTATTGTGAACTAGTTGTATCATAAAAGGTGTGCCATAGACTAAACCAGGTGAGAAGGGTATGTTTTGTCTATAGGTGTGTCTTGCCAAAAGAGGAACAGGATGTATTTGTTGTAATTTGGAGTTATTATTACGGACGTTATTGGCATTAAAATGTGCTACTAAAACGTTTGATACACTCTTATGACTGTAATTCCCTTGATAGAACAATATAAGAGTAGCTTTTATATTACATTTTTGTGTAGCACTTTAACAAAAATATACGATGAAATGTAAATTCACACACGTTGGGAAATGTCCAATGGTTGGAAGACATTGAGTTCAACTTCATAGACATTTTTATTAATAATCAACTCTAATAAATTTTCAACATTTTACAAAGGGAATGTAATAAATGAATAAAATTTGGATAAATAAATGTAAACAGTTGTCAACTTTCATAGCTTAAATTTTGTTCCTGAATGTTCAGGTGACCAATAGTACAATTTAGGCAAATCGCTATTATGATTCCCTCAGTATCTTATTCAGTCTAATAATGATCAAAGATTCTAGTCTGTACATACTGTATTTTACGTTTAAAGAATGTTAATTGTAGATATATATTAAAACGTTTTACTTGAATGTTTAACAATGTACGTTTAGTATGGCATACGCGTTGAATGCTATCAGGTCATTTGATTTCAGAGAAGATCAAAGAATTCCACGATCAATTTATATATACTTTAGAGGTTTAGTGTTCACACAAAAATCAAACCCTCCCCCTCCCCCTCCTTATTCCGACGAAGACTAGCGTGTGTGGGGAACACGCACGACAAAACTGACCTGGGGAAAAGCAATATTTTAATATCGGTTCACGTGATATTATTACAGTCATTTAGTCTACGTGGGGAAAAGTTTATTTGTTATGTACTCGGGAAACACGTATATTATTAGCCCGGTTGACTTTTTCCTCTTTAGTACGGATATGCGTATTTTTAGTTTTACAGTTTCGTTTGTTTACTTAAGGAAATACTTCACTAAACACTTTCAGGAAGCTTTGTGTACTCGATTATTACGTATATTGTTATACTGATTTACAAGATGATTCATTTTTAACCAATTTATTTTATTAACATGTCGGACAAAATTAATAACCAATGTTTTGTATTGGCTTTGAATATTTTCGGTATGCGTTCTCCCCTAAACAATATTAAAAGTATTGATGTTTTTAAGTGCGTTGATGCCAGTTATATTGTTTCACTTCAGGGTTGGCATAATACATTGGAGATGTTTTCCTCTGATTACTCTTTACAGTGTTCATTCACACATTCTTCATAATACCTAAGGACAAGATAAACTTTGTGACTTGTTTCAATACGAATTATATAGTTTAATGACCGAGGCAAAGCAGAGGTTAGGCATTGAGGAAGGGTCGAAAAGAAACTTCTGGATCATTTTCGATACACTACTGCGTAATTGTTTAAGTAACTAAATCACACAACTATGATTCGTACATGGTTAACTTTTTAAATGCCCCAAAAATTATTTTCGACTTGGTTTACTGTTGTACAAGAACAGAATGACGTTACCGTTGGTCAGAAGCAGCACGTATTACTCCACAAACAAAATAATATAAATTCAAATGTATCCGATTCGTTTACATGCCAATAACAGATGAATGTTGATGTAATTTCAGTGTGGCCTACGATGCATGACTGCATATTAAACAGAAAACGTGTTGTTATAAATACAAACAAATGTTGTTATTGGGACTATTTTCGTCCGCAAAATCAGCGGGCGAGTTTTAAAGTAAGATAAAAGTAGTCCCTAAGGGTAAAAAAGGTTACCCCACAACGCGTTTATTAAAAACAGCAGTTTTCGCCGAAGTATGACAAGAACTGTTTTAAAGTTAGTAAAAAATAATAACTTAACAGTAATACGCAAAGTGCATATTTCAGACGTCACCCAAAACCTAATCTTGACTATATACCTTCATAGTCAAAGTTGACGGATGAAATTACCCCGTCATGAAAGGTATGACAAATTAAAAAACTCTGTCATCTTTGCGAAGACCATGATTTGGCATACCTCACTATAGTCTTCAGCTGACCCATAGAATGATAAATCCATAACCGATTATGTTTAATCTACAGCTGTATAATCCTCCCTTGCATACAAGGGGTTGAAACTTCTCTCGCAGAAATAACTGACAGTACTAAACGACAGCACGCGTGCAAAGATTGATACATTCTACATATAACAAACGTTTCACTAAGTGATATCGAAAATTGGACAAGTGAAAGTGAAATATGAATCGTTGCGCAGAAAATTGATAGTCACAGAGATTGATGTATTTGATATAGACTTTCATTTCGATCCCATGTAGAGGGATAATGTGTTTCTGAAGATCGGACCGGTTGATATTAATAGTGTTGGTGTTATTGAAATGTTAAAATAGTGTAATAGTAGTAATTTTGAAATAGGAATGTTTTCAAGACTGTATACAACAAAACAATTAGATTAGACATGTTTCTTATAGTTTTATCATCCCTATTATGAAACCAGTTTCAATGTACTTTTCTGTCCCTTATAGAACGAGGAATGACTTTTTATGCCAACTTTTTATTATTGATGTTTATTTAACTAAAAAAGAAAAAACGGTGAAAATATTATGAAAAGATAAATTTGGATATTGTTTCTTCTCGACTGGCATCTATACTAGCAGCTAAAGCATCCGCTGTAAAGTTTACTGTAAGTGGAGAATATGCTACAGAGTTTACCTTAATATTTTTTTTATATCACGAACTCAATCGTAGCTTAAAATGATCCAAATCCAAAAAGGCTTAAGATTTTACAGTTTCAATAAAATTCCATCTCCCAAAGTCAATAACAAAGATTCAACGCATACCATATTTTTTACATGAAAATAGAGGATCATTTTAGTAAGAATCCATTCAAACGCATCCCTACTAAGGAAAGCTAATTTAAGAGAGGAAATCTAAACAAAAAATGTTCATTAGCTATCTTTAACACCAAACTTATTTTTGTTACAGCTCTATTCCAGTTTTTGCCTTTTACCTTTTTGCTTTTCCCTTTATTCTCATAGTTTCTATTTTGATCCAAATAAATTATACCTTTGTGGTTTTGGTTTCACACTAGTGTGTTTAGTAATTTTGTCATCTTATATATCCCTTCTTCCGATGTAAAGTGTTGGGGATCATAGTCAATATTCATATTCATTGTAAAACATTTTTAAGCTAATCATAAAAGAATAATGTCCACAATCATCCTTAAATATATAAAGCTACTAAACATTTTTGATCAATATAAATTAATTTCACCAACAATAAACATTGAATTACTTTGTAAATAAGGGAAAATCACCCCATGTCTTAGAGTTTTATTTTAAACGAGCTGGAATGAATTAATGTTTGAATTATTGAAATAACAAAGGGATTCCGGCCATAAATACACAACTAAAAGAGGTGATTTTTTTAGGCTTAGGGAAGAATAACATAACATTAAAAAAATATTTGCCAAATTTCTGCTGGTAGTTGTACCCCCATTGGCCCACAATCACAACCTATATAGAGGCTGAATATTGTTTTGTCC